TGTTCTCCTGGAATTGATTGTTCATCTCTGAAATATGTGTATCCAAAACAACGTTCCAGATCTGCCTGAGATCCCCACTCCGAAATGTTCTGTTTGGTCATTAGTTATTCAGATAACTTCATGACTTTTTCAAAATCTCCCTCGGAATTGTCTCTAAATTTGACCAAGTTCAATTTGAGATTTTCAATTAGATTGATTGTGTCTGTGACGGAGAATGTGGAGCTCTGCAAACCCCTGGTTGCAAATTCAGTAGTTTCAAAAATCTTTCCAAATGTTACCAGCATAAACAGAAACTTCTTCATTTGAACCTGATGCAACAGAGAATCTGCTTCAAATTTGGTATCGTAATTTTCTCTGAACACTGGGCTAGCATTTCCAGAATTACATCTAGCAGTTGTAGCACTTTACTCATTGAACCTGCTCTGGAGCTCCAGCGGGTGTCTGAGGGTCGTTTGAGCTCTAAGGTTTGTCGATTTGGGTGCATCTCTTTCTGAATGTCCAGGAAGATACAGTAGCATGTCTCTGAGCTCCAGTAGTGAATGTATGCAGAGAGTTTAAAATGTCAAAATATGTGCTTACGTGTCCAGATACTGAGACCATTGTGGACAAAACCAGATTTAGTCTGTGAGAGCAGCAATGAACATAGATGGCATTGGGAAATGTTCGTTTTAGGATTACATGGACACCTCCACAGTTCACTGACATGACAGCTGCCCCGTCAAAACACAGACCAACACATTGAATCGGGTCTAGTTCTAATGGCTCCAATAACTGTAGTATTTTTTCTGATATTCCAGCAGCAGTTAGGCCCGATGTGTTCATGAATCCAATCGCCCTTTCCTTCATAACTCCTGCATGAAAGTAGCGTACGCACACAGCTATGAGTTCTTGTTTTAACATATCTTCGTACTCATCTGCCAGAATGGCATAATAAGTAGAAACGTGTAATTCTTGCCTTATTTTCTGGAGTAGCACTGTTACCCCAGTCAACACGTGACATCATGCGATGATCACAGTGACATCACACGATCCTCATACTGTGATCCTCACGGTGTGAGTAGTATATGAGCTCATTGTGAGTTCAATCGATCCTCATACTGTGATCCTCACAGTGTGAGTAATAGGTGAGCTCATTGTGAGTTCCATCGATCCTCATACTGTGATCCTCACGGTGTGAGTAGTATATGAGCTCATTGTGAGTTCAAACGATCCTCATACTGTGATCCTCACGGTGTGAGTATTAGATGACATCATTGTGAGTTCATGCGATCCTCATACTGACAGTGAGTGCGCTGTGTGGTTACACTTTTAGCTCACTGTGACACACACATTGTGACCACACCATGAGAATCATGTGAGCTTATGGTGACATCATTGTGAGATCAAATTGTTGACTGGCACTGCACATCCCAGAAGTTCATTCTGCACGTCAGGGATCATGAGTGTTGAATTGCGTGGAAGATCTTTAAGCCTTGCCTCGATGGCCGGGTCATATTTGGACAACAATTTAAACGTTTCTAGAAAGTTCACTTTATTAAGGGCGTCACCACTTTCTCTGTGTCCTCTGAGAGCAATATCTTGTTTTGCCCATAGCATTACTATGTCAAGCACAACTTTTAAATGTTTCTTTGTACAAGTGCATCCCCATGCAATTGATTCAAAACCGTCCCTCAGCTGTTTGGCATGTGGCTTTCTCTGTACCCATCTAATTTACAGAGTGCAACCGTGTGCATTTTTCCACTAGCATGATGGAGACATGCTTGTCGAAGGGGTTTCCAGTACTGAAATCCATGTCTCACGAAGGAGTACTCACTTTGGCTACCAGGAAAGTGTCGGCATGCCTTGCAAAATATTGCATCCCTAGTCTGGCTGTATTCCACTTAAATTCACTGTACCATCTGCTTGAAAAGCTCCGTGCCTTGCCAGATATTACTCTGTCCGGAAATTTTTTGAGATGTGGTTGGGTTGCCTTTTCATGTATTTCAGACAGATCTGAAGGTGGGCCTTGCGGCAGTGATCCACTTGTGCGGTCATTTCCAGATGCAGATCCTACATCCACTGGGGGGCCATAATAATCCTGTGGCGGGATGGGCTGCTGAATTGATTGGTGACACTCCAGTAAAAGACCAGCAACAGATGAATTGTTGTCGGCTGAAGATTGCGTAATAAATAATGGCTCGGAATCTAAAAGTATATCTGTTGTGGTTGCATCAGCCTTGTCTGAACTAGCTCTCATGGTAATGTTAGCCTCATCTGTTGTCCTTAACTGCAGGCTGCTGAAGGAGTTCTCTCCCGGGTAAATACAAGGTTTTTTAAAATAATTTTGAATAGAATGTTGTTCAGACATTGCTGCTAGCTATCACATAGGCTAACTGCGAAGTACAATGCGTGAAACCACAAACTCACATGCACGAAATGGCTCCGGCAAGATAACCTCTAATTGCCTAACACAGATGTCAATCAAATTCATCAAGCATCATCCAAAACCACATTTTATTATTTTAAGATTTGAGATGGGACAGTCATGTTTGTAATTATATTGAACGCAATGAAATAACAATAATTTAATACATTTACATTTAATCATTTAGCAGACACTTTTATCCAAAGCGACTTACAAATTAGGAGAACAATAGAAGCAATCAGACGAATGAGAGAGCAACAGTATACAAGCGCTGTGACAAGTCTCAGATAGTCTAGCAATGTACACATAGCTAGGGTTTTTTATTTTTATTATTTTTTTAATAGAATGGAATAGAATAGAACAGAATAGAATAGAATAGGTAAGTGCTAGTATTAGTTCGTCAGGTGCTGGCGAAAAAGATGTGTCTTTAGACGTAAAATATTTTTGTCAAAACTTGGTGGGCCTATTCATAAAGCTGGCTACACCCTGATTTGAGCCGATATGGCAAGGGGACTGAGTTACTACCTTTACGGGTAGAAGAAGTCGTGAACCTGCTGGTTTGGGGTGAAGAACAGTTTGGAAACAATGCGTATTTACATGGATACTTGTTAAGAACGTGATTCCAACATAATTTTGTGTGAATTTGGTCAAGAAGATGTGAGAGAGAACTCAATTTGGTTCTCGCATATGCTGTCTGAGCTGTGGCCTTTTGCGTGTGTGTGCACAGAAACGGTCTATCACAACGCGCGAGTACCGCACTGAAATCTCTTTCGCGCTGTCTCAAGCTTGAATGGCTTAAAACACTTTAATGTTTAAACTGACAAGACTTAAAACATGTGAGAATGATAAACTTTCTTGAGGAAGCAGCACTACTCCAATCGTTCAGATAGCTGATTAGTTAAACACTGGCGCGTCCTGTTAACAGCAGGTATCGTTAAGCATATTGTATTCACAGGTGAACATAAAATATTTTACATACCACTACTGGTGAACAAGCCAGTGTAATGCAAATATGTCTGAAAGATCTGACGTACGCCAATAGCACGAGGATATTGTCACGTTCTCATGAGACCAGTCGGATCTCGTCACACCCCTAGTGGGGAGTGCAACCACACTTCCATAGGATGCATGAAACTTGTTTCAAACATGTAGATACGATACTCCTATTTTAAACTCTTGGTAGCTTCAGAAGCACTTAAAATGAACAAAATCCCTTCTTCCAAATTTCCCTAAAACTGATTCAAACATAAAATCTTATGAATAGACCGGTGGGATTAAGTTAATGTTCCTCAACTTGACCATTCTGTGTATTTTTGCCTCTTGGACAGGTATGTTCTATGCAGTTGTTTTGATACATTTCTAGTTTCAACATTATTTGCTCTTCAGCTGTTTCTCTCTAAAGGAACAGATGTGGCCTAATGATTATAGAGTCAGACTTATAACCCGAAGGCCATAGGTTCAATTCTCAGTACCAGCAGCAAATGGAATTTGTGCTCTGCATTTAAACCCATCCAAGTGCACACACAGCAGTGAGTAGTGCTCCAACCACCCCAACCACCCTGGTAACTGTCTTTTCATTTTGCTGCCATCTGGTAAGCGCTTCCGTAGCCTGATGGCAAAAACCGAGAGACTTAGGAGGAGCTTCTTCCCCCAGGCCATCAGGCTCCTAAACTCAAACTCAGCCTCTTAACACCAACATGACTTCACCTAATTATCAGTATGACACTTAATATACAGACATTGTCACTTGCACACAGCAATTTCTGTAATATTTTATTTATTTACTTTTTACCTCTATTGCTGCTTTGTTACTACCCTGTACAACCTGTTTGCACATTCTTCTCTTGTACATTCCTGCTCATCTTAATATTTATTAAGTCTACAGTATACTGTCCTGCACATTTTATTTTATTCTTATTTTTTATCTTACTTTTTTTCCATACCTATATTTATATATAATTTTCTTGTGTTTGTATTCTTTAATAATTGCACTGTCCATGGAGCGGACCTGACTTACATTTCACTGCTGGTCATATATTTCCTATATAACCATGTATGTGACAAATAAAAATCTTGAATCTTGAATCTTGAATCTAGTGAACACAAACACACACACACACACACACACACACACTGTGAACACACACACAGAGCAGTGGGCAGCAATTTCGGGAGCAGTTGGGGGTTCTGTTCTTGCTCAAGGGTCTCACCTCAGTTGTGGTATTGAGGGTGGAAGTGAGCGCCTTTACAAGTCTGACTCTTTAACCATTAGGCCACGACTGCCCTGAACCAAAATCTAAAGAACCAAAGTAAGAACCAAAATCTAAAAGGATATTAGGATATATTTAATAATTCTTGTGTTACAGGCATGCAAACTTTAGCGGAGAAGAAAACTAAACAATTATTGTAAGGAGGTCAAGAGTGCTCTCTCGGCCACCGTACTATTGACATATTTGCAAAGTTTGCTAAAGGCAACATATTTTACTAAAGGCAACAGACCTTCCAATCTCTGTGTAAAATAATAATGCTGCCATCGGCATGACTCTGCAGCCATTAAACATCCCACTTTACAAAGTATGACACGTCTGTTACTCACCCAGTTGCTCCAGTACTACAGTTGCATTGGCTGAAAGTCCCCCAGCAAACACTTTACACATGTAAACTCCTTTATCCTCAGTTCTGATGCTCTTCAGTCTGAGAGAGAAGTTTCCTTTGGGGATTTCAGCAGTGAAGAGCTCAACTCTGTCTATGTATCGCTCATTTGATGAATGTGCCTCACTGTTTTGGTAGAGCAGAACCTGAATATCTTCATCTATTTTCTTCCATGAAACCTCCTCAAAGTCTTCAGGTGGGATGTGAGAGTCTACAGAGCAGTTCAGAGTGACGTCTTCACCCACAGACGCAGATATGGAGCGACTCGATCCTGATACTAGCAAACGCTCTGAAAGAACAAACAGTGTAAATATACATTCAGTAATTAGTTTCTGTAAAATCATAATGAAAATGAAGGAAGGAGCTCATGTGGTCAATACTCACCAACATCTTTAATTTCAACCACAGTCTCACCAGAATCTTGCTGAATGTAAACTTTACATTTATACTGTCCCTCATCTTCAGCTCTCAGTTTGTCCAGCCGGAGGGAGAAGTTTCCATGTTGAATCTCTTCAGTAAAGAAATGAGCTCTATCCTGATAATCCTGCTGCTGGGATTCTGCTCGACTCTCACCATCCTGATACAGATGAACCAGAGTCTCTGAGTCTGTTTTTCTCCATTCCACCTCCAGACCCTCCACTGATAAAAGTTCATCAACACAACAGGGCAAAACCACGGAGGATCCCAGAGGAGCAACCAGGGGACCAGAGGGACCTTTTACAATCAAACCTGAGACAGAGAAGTAAAATAAAGCTTGTTGTAGTTTCTCGGTGCATAAATGGATAAATACTATGTAAGGAATTTAACTCATTAATTCTTATAAGGGAATTAATCATTAATTTTATTTCTAGCTCAGGTTTTGAGAGGACTCGAATCTGAAAATTCGAAGTCAACCTGATTAAAACTGATTTCAAATTTGATATTTTACACTTTATCAGCTACTCATCCAGCGAGACGTTAATGTCAGTGTATATTAACAATTTGACTATACGTATTAACCCGTGGCCAGGGAAAATACATATAGTCAAATTGTTATCAAAAATATCAAATTTGAAATCAGTTTTAATCAGGTTGACTTCGAAGTTTCAGATTCGAGTCCTCTCAAAACCTGAGCTAGAAATAAAATTAATGATTAATTCCCTTATAAGAATTAATGAATTAAATTCCTTACATATGGTGGAGAAAATAGCTGCAAAGATTTGACTTAAAAATTAATGACACCAAGATATTATGGTGAATCTTCTCTATTTCTATCTGGAAGAATAGATGAAAAATAGAGAAAAAGAGTTTGTGAGTGATTATACCTGTCATTAGAGCATACCAGCGTGTTGAATGAAAGTGAAACTCGAGTTTGTTGTTTAGAATTTAACTGCAGTAAAAACGTTTACATTTTGTCCACCGAGACAAAATAAGTCGCTCTAAAGCGCATGAATAGAGAAACGAACGTATTCCTCATTACTTTCTGTAAAAGGGCCTTCAGAGCTTGATTTGTATAGTGCGTGTCCCACTTCCAAATTCAACTCTGCTATTCATCTCCCCGGTTTGAGGAAATCAGAGTAGCTAACTGATAGTCCTCTGCCATCTAAATTCACAAAAAAAAACTAGTGAACTTGAAAACGCGGTACTCAGAGAGAGTGTCCGGACGTTATTTTTCTTTATGGGAGAATTGTGAAATCTTGATCAAGTAAGGATTGTGGTTAAATCCACGTGTGTTTTAGTGAGTTCCAAAACTCACTTGCCTTGAGTTTTTCAACAAGTGCACGTCCGGCGTCCCGCGCATGTTCCGACATGATAAAACTGACCAAGAACCTGAAC